AGCGGTTATTTTGATCAATGAGCTTTTGACTAGCTGATATAAGAAAAGCTAAGAATTGGTATACAACAGTAAAAGGAACTCGGGTATTTCCCACATACTTGTTTTCAATCACTGACTTGTACAATTAATACATAGATAGAATTCCTTCATAAAGTACAATTCAATAACTTGGATATTTTTTTTCCTTGAATTTAGTTACCGATTTATGATAATGGACCGATTTGGCAGTGATCTTCAGAAGATGTATGAAGAGAACGGAAAACGATTTTCCCATAAAACTGTACTACAATTAGGCCTGAGAATAGTAAGTTTAAAAAAATATTTTTACAATCTGGCTTTCCCGTGTCTTTCGGTTAACTCACTTTCGTGTTGAGTTCAGGTCCTCTGCTGGGTGGAGCTGGGTACTGCATTTGTATGACTGTGTTTTGTTTTGTTAGCTTGATATCCTGGAATACATCCATGAGCATGAATATGTGCACGGAGACATTAAGGCCTCAAACCTTCTTTTGAGTTACAAGAACCCTAATCAGGTATTTCTGATGCATTTTATTCCTCATGTTTTAAACCTATTTGACAACACATGGAAGTGCTTTGAACCTGTGAAATCTAGCAGAAATTAATTTTTAAGAATGTACATGGTAACGTTATTTCTGCTTGACATTTATATCTAGTTAACACTGTACGATTTTTTAAATGCATTTTGCTGGACAGTTCTCAAATTGACTGTTTGCCCTCAGTAATATTCTAGAGAAATTTTCAATTAAAAAAAAAAAGTAAATTGACTCTCAAATAGGTATGTGCAGGTGGAAGCTTAAAATTATAGAGCACACTGGTAAATTATGTTTGCCTGTCTGCATTGTTACCTCACTCCTTTTTTCAGCAAATCCATCAGGTAAGTGTTCTGTTAGTTGGAAAAATTGGTCTTTAAAGTGTTGATGGTTCCATTTGATTTACAGAAGTCTTTCATTTTTCTGCATTTTTAACTCTCTTTGCTATTCAAACAATGCATATTAGGGTTTCGGAATTGTATATGTTGTCTTGCCCAAATGTTTTAGCTCATTAAATATGTAAATTATCTCAGCTCCCTTAAAGTAGCTGTGGTATTACTGAGATACAGGATGTAGGTAGTATTTAAATGTCACAGCTGACTTTAAAGAGAGTAGGACAGTAAGTGTATTTATAACTCTATGAACATTATATCTTTTGTTATTGTTTTTTATTTAATTTTACTGGTAATAACTATTCTACTGCACTTGTCCTCTGCATCAACAAGACGCTACTTCCATTTCAGACTCTACATGGGAAACAACAAAACCTATCTTGACATGTTTTTAAATCATATGTAGGAATCTCAATAAAGCAGAGGATAATTTCAAGTCAAAAACTCAATGTTTTAATGCTTTTTAAAAGTTCTGATAATCAGTGGGAATTAAACTTACTATTTGTGTACTTGTATTTATTGCTTTTTAATCTTTGAATTCTTTGTGGAAATTACTAGGTGTACTTGGTGGATTATGGACTTGCCTACAGATACTGTCCTGAAGGAGTTCACAAAGAATATAAAGAAGATCCTAAAAGGTGTCACGATGGAACTATTGAATATACCAGTATTGATGCTCACAAGGGTGTGGGTAAGGATATAAAACTTTGTTCTTGGCAACAGACATTTGTGCATCCTTTTTATAAATACTTAATTTGCTGCATTGAGTTTTGTAAACGAACAGGCTTCTGAATCTACAATAATTTCTTTTTCTTCTCTATAGACTCTGATGGCATTTTTCTTTTTTTTCCATTTTCTTTTACTTTGATATTAATTTACTATATTTAACGTAAATTTCTTAAATAGATTTCTTTAATATGTAAAGACTATTAAGGTGTTTAGTGTATAGCTTTTTATTAAATAAACAGAAATGGAATAGTGCTGATGAGATATTGATAGAAAAACAGGCCCTGTTTTCAGGAGATAAATTCTGTTATCAGTGTGAACATTGTTTCTTCATATTTGGCAAAGATGCACAATATTCTTTATCTTGTTTATAGCTTAATATTTTTAAGATATATTTTTTACAAAACTTCATTTATGCCTGTAGCCACAAACCATCAAAAGGGAAGTAGTGAGAAAAGGTTGAAGATGAAATGGACAGGTCTATGTCTAATGAAAAACTGAGGATTTAGAGTGAGCATCAGTTTAGTTTTCTTCTTAATTTTGTTTTAGTAGCATTAAAGTATGTCCTGCTAAAATTAAAACTGGACATGAACAAATATGACTTGATTTGCCCATTTTCACTTCTAATGTGATCAATATACCTGTGAGTTCCTCGGGATCTGATCTATTACTGTTCCTTATTTAGTTTTCAGGACACATAAAATATTTCAGCATTGTGGAATATTTCTTTCAGGAGCTGGGATTTTAGTACTATTACCTTTTCATAGAAGAAGGAAAGTAAAAACTGTTTTGAATGGAAAGTAAATAATTTCGCTTACTTGCTCTATTTTTTCCACAATCTTAGTACTTAAAAAGCTTCCCAAATTGGGATAACTGCAGCATGTCATGTCCTTGGGTAGAAGAAATAGATTGATAAAAGACTGAAAAATGAAGTTACCCTTCTAAATGTAGGAACAACATTTTTCCTTCCTTGCTTTCATGCTAAAATAAAGAGATAAGTAAGAGATACAATAGTGTTACATTGTTAGCATTGGCTTTCTATTGTCTTAACATATTTACAAATTTTAACTGTTTAACTCTTATGGTTCTTTTTTTATGTGTGCATATATATTTAGCACCATCAAGACGTGGTGATCTGGAAATCTTGGGTTACTGTATGATTCATTGGCTTAGTGGCCACCTACCATGGGATGATAATTTGAAAGATCCAGATTTTGTCAGAGACTCAAAAATCAGGTAAGGAATTGCTTATTTTCTTTCCCTTTTGAAACTGAAAATAGAAATGAAAATGTCTTAGTTTGAAATGCTTTGTAGTCTCAGTATTCCCTATTGGTGAGTAGGCTGTTTTGTATGCCTCTTTTTCCCTTCGTTGTGTCTCATGTGTCCTTGGCTTGTGTTTAAACTATACTTGTACTGTTCTGCTGTCGTCTTCTGCATATGTAAGGTGCTCAGTTATCCACCACAGTGCTGCTGCTTTAGAAAACTGCCATGGGTAAACCAAAAAGCACTTATCAGTAAGTATGCAGGTATCCATTAGTCTTGCTTTAGAGAATTGAAGCATGGAGTATGACTGGTCTTTATAACACCATGCTCTGAAGTTAGTGGCAGAGATTAGGGTAAAGGTGGATCTTAAAAGTGTTTGAGCATCATTCCAGCTAGAGGGCTACTAATGTGGGATTTTTAAATTCTTGTTTTTAGTCCCTCTTCATCAGTATTACATTTCTTCATCTTCTCCCCACCCCTGCTCAGCGCTCTCTTGTCAGGTACTTAATATGAAGAAAGCTGTCCCAGCACAGTAGTTAGTCTCATTAAAAGTTATTTGTTTGGCTAATTTATCTCTACTTTTAACACATCTGTCTCCATAAGCGTTGGTGAAGTTCCCCACCCTTCCCTGCAGTTATTGTTTTAGCATTGGATCTTCTTGTGTGATAAAAGCTAAAGAAAGTGTCCTCTAACAGAAGGCAGTGAGCGCATTGGTATGTGAGAGGTTAAAACAAACTAGTTCTTTTCCTTCAGTCTTCTATTTGCTCACTTTTATAAGAATCAAAAACTATTGAACAAAACTTAGTGTATTTCAGATAACCTGTCTGGTGTTTGTCAGGTTCTCAAATGTGCTACACTCCTAAAAATGGCTGGACTATCATACCAAAGGTTCATCTAGTAGCATCTTCTGTTTCTGACAGTGACCCAACTTAGAAACTTAGGAACTTTATTAGAAGAGAGTAAGATTCAAACTTTCAAAGAAACAACAGTTCTGAATTACACTGTCTTTCAGATGTAGAGATGATATTTCTGTATTGATGGACAAATGCTTTCCTGGGAAAAATAAACCAGGTAAGAGGATCTATTTTAAATTGAAATACTTTGCTTTTTGCCATGTGGTAAGCATTCTCTAATGTGCTTTTTCTTTAAAAAATAAAATCCACCAATCTGCCATCACCAAATTGTGGACAACTTTAGACAATGAGTAGAAGCTCTGAAATTTCTATCTACATGGTGCACGTTGAGTGCATGCAAAGGTAGACTGTGCTACTCTGTATTCAAATAAAATAAGATCAATTCAGTTACTGCAAAAGGTGAGGAGTTGTCAGGTTGCCAGCATCTTTTTTACTGAGAAGTGTGTCTTAGGCATAGTACTCTAATCTGTTGTTTCTTCAAGTCCTCCTTGTTTACTGAAGTTTGTACATGTTTTTCATCTTTTATCAGTAAAAACAAAGTGGCATGAATTAGCTTGTTGTTTAGGAGAATTTAGCCTCTTGTTTTTGGCTGCAGTTATATAACCTGCAGACGCTGTCAGTTTTGACTAAAGACAGTAATAAGTATTTGCACAGAGATTTTTCACAACTGAATTTTAGAGTTTCAAAATACAAAGTAATGCAAGCATGAAGTCTAGATGGTTTCTATTTGGCATTGGCAGTTTTCTGAGTAGATTTTTTTAAACTTAACTGTGTTAGAAATACATTTTCTTGGGATTTTAAACTTAAATATTTTAGTTATTTCTGTGTGCTTCTGGTGGTCAGAGAATTTTTTTCTCTGTCAAGTGTGACTTGTCTGGTTTTTCAGTGGTCAAATATTTAATTTTTTAATACATGCTTCAGTCTTGAACTGGTGAAGTTCTGAGCCAGCACTGAACTTCCTAACCAACATTAAAATACAGACATAAGAAATACGTAAACAAACAACAATTGGTGAAGATTAAGCTCTTACATTTTTTATGACTGACTGTTTTCTTCATTGCAAGGAATGTGTAAAAAACAGTGATGCTGTCACCACTGGGTAATGAACCTTGGTATAATTTTTTTCTAAAATGTGTTGTAGTAAAGTAATAATTATGAGTTTATAAATAACCATTTAAAAAATTACATAGAAATGCATGCGTAATTTCTGAATCTTGTGGTAAAAGTGAATGATTAAAATGTTTTCAAATAGAAATTAATTTGAGGTACCATTTCTTTAGATGAAGTAGCCAAATATATGGAAAAGGTGAAACTACTGAGCTATGAAGAAAAGCCTGTGTATCAGCATTTCCGAGAAATACTTCTGCAAGGTCTTAAGGCCATTGGGCAAAAAGATGATGGAGTACTTGACTGTGGCTTGTCAGAGAATGGAGACATGCAAAGGAATCCTGTGCAAAAGGTTTTTACTTTAAAAATTTATGTCAGCTTTTAATGCATTGTTTTGAGCTGAAAAAGATTTAAAGTGATATTGGAAATAGGGGTCATAACTGCATCCAGTAGGAAATAAGCAAAAAGTGAATCGTTTGTTTGATTAAGTCTTAGTCTTACACATTACTTTTAACTTCACTAATTGTTAATAAAACTTAATACACAATGATCTTTTTAGGTGTACTTCCATAATAGAATATATGTTGCGTAACACAATGTGTAGATAGAATTACGACATTTGAACAGAGGAACATTCAGTTAATTTACTTATTTTCCTTAAATTGGTAAAACTCTAGATAGGTCAAAATACATGTAAGGTAAAATCAATCTAGTTTTTATTTCAGCTTAGTTTCCTTTCTGTGACTACTTCAAAGCTTATTTTAAAGTATGCATCTTTACGCCAAGTACTTGATTCTGGAATTCACATATTGAATTCACTGTGATCTAATATGTAATTTATGAATTTTAGCTATAGTAACAGATTAGGGGTATTTTATTCTTTGTATTTAAGAAGTCTTCAATTCTAGATTTGGACTCCCATTGGAATACAGCCTTAAGAATTTTCTAAGCCTTAGGGAAATTGTATGGTAAAATGGCTTGTACTAACAATTAAAAATGGTCAAATAATCATAAAGCCATTTATGTTGGAAAAGGCCTTTAAGGTCATTGAGTCCAACTGTGTGGAATAATATTATCACATACTTAAAAATGGATTTATTAATTGTTTATTTGCATTATTAATAACAGGTGGCCAGTTTATTGGTTCCTTTAGCATGTATCAGGGAAGTGAGAATTGTAATATGGGATAATAGTACAAGAATTCAGCCTGCTTTCTGACATGATCAGCAGTTTGTTATACATGGGCAAAAAACACAAAAGAAAAAAAAGTATAGGATTTTTAAATCTTCTCAGGATATATTTCTAGCTTTTCTTACTACTTTTTGTGCAGTAAATGGTACTTTGCCTAAAATCATACAGCCATGGTCTTTATACTACTATTGTCTGCTGAACTGAATGTAAAAATCTGTCCTAAAGGAGAGTTCCTTAGCATAAATTCTCCTGTTCCCCTATGGATTGACATGGCTTGAGACACGTTTTTTGGGGAAAAAATAATAAAAATCTCTTTTTAATAGTTAGCTTTTTTTCCTGAATAAGTTGGCCTGCTGCAGTGCTAACATCTGTGACCTTTCATGTCCAGCTGACATGTCTGGTGCATATTTCCAGTGGAATAAAACTTAAAAATCTAATTTCTTTAGTCAGTATCAGTCAAGACCATTTCAAAGGGTGGGATAATAATTTTCCAGAGGTTCTTACCTACTACCATCCATTAGGAGTTAGTTTTTACCTCGAGTTTTTAATTTTTTTTGGCATACTTGATGCCCAATTTGGAAAAGAAAAAAGAAGTCTGGCATCCACCATTGAAAAGATGGTGATCTCTAATATAGATTATTTACAGCATTTTGGCTGTAGTGGTCTTTTAATTGCAACAGGTCTTAAGACATCTACTCTCCAGTTCCTTTGGGGCAAATACCATATTATTTCCTTAAAACAGTATTATTTGGTGTTGTGAAGTTATGCTATTTCATACCTAGGAGACCTTGACTAGATTTTGTGCAACCTGATCTAGTTGTAGGGTTCTCTGCTCATGGCAGGAGTGTTGGAACTTGATGATCTTTGAGGTCCCTTCCAACCTTAATGATTCTATGAATATTTCTAGCTTCTGTGTAAATTCTTAGAATGTAGGATTCTCCTCTTCATTCTGCTTATATAGCTAATTGAACCATGATGTGCATGATGCAAGCAAGTATGCTTATTCTGGAATTCAGTCATTCTCCAGTATTGTCATCTGGCTAAAATGCAGAGAAGTCTCCTATATTAAAAGTTAACATTTTATTTTCTATATCATGACTCAAGTTTCCCCAGATGTGTAAGAAAATGTAACACAACTCAGTTCAGCTGGAGAGGGAGGGGTTGTTCTTGCTTTTTGGTTTTTAGTTTGTGCGCTTTTTTTAATTTTATCTATAGTAGATGCCTGCTGGTTTGTATGTGTGGTATTTTATAATAGTTCCAGCAAAACACGAAGCTAACAGTACCATGTATTGAAGGAAATATCTGGAGCTCTTGACTAAATTATTTAGGGCAAGGACCATATCTTTTGTTTAGTGCTGAAGAGTTGCTGGGAAATACTGGGAGTAAACTAAACTGGAAAAATATGGATCTTGGTTATTTGTGTTTCCTTCTGATATTCAGCTTCAGATGCTCAGGTGTTGCTTTTGTCAGATGAATGCTGTCTAATTTCTGCTGCTATGTAATTCACCTGCATCAAGATGAAGAAACCACTTTTTATTAAATAAGCTTGGAAACAAGATAAATGTATTTTGCTTTTGTGTAGCATGTATTGGATATCTGTTTTTCTGATGAGCTTTTAAAATGTTTTCTAGTACAATTGGGAGGAATGCATTATCTCTCATATAAAAGCAGTACAGTGCTGAAATAGTCCTCCTTAATTTTGGTCAGAATGAACAAAAGTGTCTGTGTTTATTCCTGCCTAATGCATCACAAATCTGCTGACATGCTAACCTTGGAGTCTTGGCTGGCGGTAATCAGGCCTGTGCACCGGCAGGAAAGATGTACCTAATGCACTCCATCAGTGCAGTTTGCATATGGAAGTTCTCACAGGGGAGCTGCCCTGTGCCAGCTGAGGGTTACCTGCCCACTGCAGTTATTGTATGTAATTATCGAACCAATCTGTTCAGCCCAGCAGGGTTTAGATGGTAATCATGAAGCAACACTTTGAAAAGGAAGGATGTAATGCACTCTCCCCTTCTCTCATGAGCTATGTGAAGTTGTAGCCACTTTTAAAGCTGTGTTAGTAAAGCTCTACTCTCACACAATTAAAAAAAAAAACATGAAAAGGAGAAGGTAAACTTTTCCAGTGTTCATCAAAGTTACTATCTATATATGAAACAGATACAGGTCAACTTATCCTTAGCAAAAATCACATGGCTTCCTTAAGATTACTTTGGAATAGTGAGATTAATTGTAATACGTAGATAGTAACACTCCTATCCATTCAGAGGTTTTAAGATAATGTGCCTTGAACAGAGTTCCCATTTCCCAAGTACCTCTCTTTGGAACAGAATCCATATTTGCTATTAGAAAAAAAAATAAAATGTACTGTCAGTGGGTGTTAGCTACTTTTAAGCTGTGCAAAGAAAGCCTTAAGAAGCAAGGATCCAGATAAACTTGAATTTAATGAGGTGTAACTGCTTTTAAAAAAGCAATTAGCATAAACTTTGGGTAGAATGCTTTTCTGTGTCCTTTTAGATTTCTTAGATTTCTCCTTTTGTAGCAGTTATTACATGTAAATAAAAAAACAGGTTTTGATAATGAAACCTTGTGTTTAAGTACATTAAAATTTCAACTCCTAATGTGATCTGTAGATAGGGGAACCGAACTTTTAAATTTTCTTTCCTAGTACCAGGATTCTTGCATTAATATATGAATAAATTTTCTCTACAACTGGAGACATTTCATAATATATGAAGAAATAATGCTTAAAATTGGGGAATACCTTGTGAGAATAAGATATTCTCTTTGTGTGATCTCTTCTGTTCAGTTTGTTCAGTTGCCCCCCCTTTTTTTTTTCCTCAGAAGAAAAGAAAGGCAGCAGCTGCATCCAATGAGATCACTGAAGCAGAAACAGAAGATACAGGAAGTCCAAAAAAAAAGAAAACTACTACTGGTAAGTCAAAAGACTCTTCTTGTGTACTGGTGGTGTAGGTTAACCCTGGATAAGGGACAAACTCCCACCAACCACTCACTTCCTTCCTCAGTGGAACAGAGGGACAAAATAGGATATGAAAACTCATGGGCTGATAAAAAGATGGGGAGATTGTTTATTGTTTACTGTTGCTGGCAAAACAGACTTAACTTGGGGAAAATCAATTAAATTCATTGACAATTAAAATTAGTTTGGTTATTGACAAAGACAAACGTTAAAACACCACCTTTCCTTCCCCTTCTCCCAAGCTCAGTTTCTTCACTCTGGACTCCTCTACCCCACCCTCAAGTGGTGCAGTGGGCATGGAGGGAGAGTGTTGTCAGGATGTAGCATTTCCTGTCCGCAGCTCCTTCCTTTTCACATTTTTGCCCTGCTTCATTGTGGGCTCTCCTTCATGGCCTGCAGTCCTTCAGGGAAAAAAATGTGCTTCAGTTCCTTCAGGAATATCCATCTGCTCCAGTGTCAGCTCTCCTAGGAGTTGCAGGGGATATCTGCTCCATCCTGCATCTGTCATGAGCTACAGAGAATATTTGCTGTAGAGAATCACAGAATCCTAGGGGTTGGAAGGGACCTTGAAAGATCATCTAGTCCAACTCCCTTCCAGAACAAGGTCACCTAGAGCACATCACACAGGAACGTGTCCAGGTGGGTTTTGAATGTCTCCAGTGAAGGAGACTCCACAACCTTTCTGGGCAGCCTGTTCCAGTGGTCTGGAGCATCATCTCCATCCAGTGGTTTTCACCCTTTTAAAAATATTTTCACAGAGGTGCCACAAACAAGTTGGGCTCGACTTTGGCTTATGGTGGGTTTGTTTTGGAGCCAGCTGGAATGGTCTGTGTTGGGCACAGGGCAGCACCTGGCCTCTTCTCATAGGAGTCACCCCAGTAGCTGACCCCAGCTTACCAGAGCCCTGTCACCTGGCCACATATACCCAGTACAACTGTTTACCTTTAGCAGTTCAGGTGCTTTTTATCTTTCATAATTTCTTTTTAGATCAACTGTAAAACTTTCTGTATAAGAAAGGTATACTGTCCAATTATATGCTACCTAAAGCTGGTAAAATTCCTAGGTGATAAAAATTGGTGGTTGCACCCTGTTCTTTTGCCATAATTCATTATCCCTTCTGTTCTTATTTTTGTCTTTCTGACTTATCCAATTCACTGGCAGATTATGCTGACTTATCAAGACTGCTTCATTCACAGTGTGTTTAAGCCAGGGGCTAGCAGCAGCAGCTTCCAAAAGTGAGTGTATTTAAAGTCAAGGAAAGGATCAACTATAAGGATAGAAAATGCTGAAGCTGCATTTCAGATAATTTGGCATAGTTTCACCCTTTTCTGGAAAAAGTAATGGACAGATGAAGTTAGGATTTTTTTAAGTCCAAGATAAGAAATCTTAAGTACATCTATATAGGCTAAACTTATGCTGAGTGTCCAGCCAAGCTTTTCTGGATCTAACCTTCTATCTTCTTCTTGCAGATGAACTGAATTAAAGTATTATAAAGATATTTTTTACCTAAAGAATTTTAGCTTCAGACTTCTTAAGACCAGATATTGACTGTGGTCAAGTAGTCTAAAAAAATAATAAAGCAGTGACACTAGAGTCTACCCCAAAACAAATCTGCCTGTTTAAGAAAGGTTTGATGAAGGAGTATGGCAGGATCTAACATTTCAAAGATAGTACTATTATTGGTAAGTTATAGATTTACCCTAGTATATTTAATCCAACAAGTATATTAAGTAAATATGTAATTAAGCTAGTGTTGTTCTAGGTGATGCAGCTCTGTTCATTTTCATCTATTCACACTGTAGAATTCTGATCAGTAAAATTAGTGATTATTTCTCTTATTTGAATGCCTTTTGAATTATTGTCTTCAATTTATGATGAATTTTCTAGTCTGTCAGGGGCTGCAAAAATGTTAATTAGATTATACTTTCTTTGAAGGAAATTCATTATTTGATATGATGCTGATATTTATACGTAGATTTAGCATTTTAGATTTTATTTAAGGCCTTGTAACAATATTTAATACAGCTGACTATTTTCTGTTTGATTTGATACACATGAGCAGAATATACTTTCATTTTATATTACATGTTATGCTTCTTGTTTTCTGTTGTATATTGAAATTCTCAGAGATGAAAAAAGAACTTGTGGCATTTGTGGTAGCTTCAGCTTTTTTAAATGCTTACGTTTTTTCAGAAGAAGCGAAGCTATTTAGGAGACTATTTTCAGCATCCAGTGGTTAAAATGCTTGATGGACATCAGCTTAAATGTAAACCTCCTCTTGCCAATTCAATAGTTAGAGGTGAAATGGTTCTAATTTCACCTTTTTAAAAATCCAGCTTAATGAATACTAAGTGGGGGGAGTATATAAAATTATTTCAGATGAAAAATGATACATGTACTTACTCTTTGTTCTATTCAAATTTGGAATTAAAACCTTATTACATGATTCATAGTGTTGAAGGAAAGGGCAAGGGTTTCATAATCTTACGATTATGATGTTTTTGATAAATTGAAAATAGCTGATTATTACAGAAATACTTAAAACTGTCTCTCGAAATCTGACTAGTTTTATGTTACCATGGACTTGCTTCATAAAATCACCGAATCATAGAATTGTTTTAGTTGGAGAAGACCTTTAAGACCATCAAGTCCAACCCTTAACCTAGCACTGCCAAGTCCACCACTAAACCATGTATCTAAGCACCACAGCTACACTTCTTTTAAATACCTCTAGGGATGGTTGATCGACCTTCCAGGGGCAGCCTATTCCAGTGCCTGACAATCCTTTCAGTGAATAAATTTTACCTAATATCCAATCTAAACATCCCTTTGGACAACTTGAGGCTTTTTGTTCCTGTTCTATCACTTGTAACTTTAGAGAAAAGACCAATACCCACCTCAGTACAACCTCCTTTGAGGTAGTTGTATAGAGCGATAAGGTCTCTTCTCAGTCTCCTTTCTTCTAGGCTAAACAACTCCAGTTTCCTCAGCTGCTTCTCATAAGACTTTTTGTCTAGACCCTTCACCAGCTTCATTGCCCTTCTCCAGACATGCTCCAGCACCAAAATGTCTTTCTTGTAGTGATGGGCCCAAAACTGAACACAGTACTTGAGGTGCAGCTTCAGCAGTGCTGACTACAGAGTGACAATCACCTCTCTACTCCTGCTGGACACACTATTTCTGATACAAGCCAGGATGCTGTTGGCCTCCTTGGCCGCCTGGGATCATTGCTGGCTTATATTCAGCTGGCTGTTGATCAACACCTGTGGATCCTTTTCCTCTGGGCAGCTTTCCAGCCACTCATCCCTAGGCATGTAGAGTTGCATGGGGTTGTTGTGACCCAAGTGCAGGACCTGGCACTTGGCCTTGTTGAATCTCATACAGTTGGCCTCAGCCCATAGTTCCAGCATGTCCAGATCCTTCTGCAGGGCCTTCCTACCCCCAAGCAGATCAACACTCTGGCCCCACTTGGTGTCATCTACAAACTTACTGAGGGTGCACTCAATCCCCAAATCCAGAAACTTTATAAAGATATTGAAGAGAAGTGGCCCAAATACCGAGTCCTGGGGAACGCTACTGTTGACTGGCCACCAAATGGATCTAATTATGTTCACCACAACTTTTGGGCCTGGCCATTCACCTGTTTTTTTACCCAACAAACTGTATATCCGTCCAAGCCATGAGAAAACAGTTTATTCAAGAGAATGCTGTGGGAAATGGTGTCAGAGGCTTTACTAAAGTCTAGCTAGACAACATCCATAGCCTTTCCCTCATCCACCTTGTCAGAGAAGGAGATCAAGCAGGACCTGCCTTACATGAAGCCATGCTGACTGAACATGATCACCTGGTTGTCCTGTACATGCTGTATAATGGCATTCAAGTTGATAAGCTCCATAACCTTCCGTGGAACTGAGATCTGACCAACAGGCCTGTAGTTCCCTGGATCCTCCTTCTGATCCTTCTTTTAGATGGGGTCACATTTTCTAACCTCCAGTCCACTGGGACCTCCCCAGTTGTCCAAGACTGCTGATAGATGATGGTAAGTGGCTTGGTGAGCACTTCTGCCAGCTCCCTTAGTGCCGGTAGGTGAATCCCATGCAACTCTATAGGCTTGTCTGTGTCTAAGTGGTGTAGTAGGTCTCTTAACAATTTCTCTTTGCAGTGTGTGGGCTCCATTTTGCTGTCTTTCACTCAGGGGCTGGGTACCTGGGGAACAACTGGTCTTACCAGTAAAGACAGAGGCATTAAGCACCTTGGTCTGTTTTTCTCCCTTGCCACTATGTTTGCCTCCCATCCAATAAAGAATGGATGTTTTCCTTAGCCCTCCTTTTGTTCCTGATACATTTATAGAAGCATTTTTATTGTTTATTGTTTTGTTGTTTTTTTACAGCAGTAGCCAGATTACTGGCTCTTTTTAGCAACAATTTTATCTCTGCATAGCCTAATGACCTGTTTCTGTTACAGTATTAGTCCTGTGACTAAAAAAAAGTCATAGAGTTTACTGCCCAGTAAAATGGATAGTTTCTTAGTATCTCTTAATGATAGGAATAGATGTTTAATCATACAGGAAAATTTTTAAAGTTCTTGAAGTGCTATTTTATTGGTTTCTAAAAGGGGATACATTTGGCCAGACAGCAGTTACTCTTCAGGTGTTCAAACAATCTCATGAATATTTGGACATAAAACAGTGGCAAGAAGAGTCAGGCAGCCTCTTGCTGTTATCGGCATTACCACAACTATGCAGTTCGTCTAATCCAGTCCAAAAGATCAGTCAGCCCAAAAAGATCCAGGGTGCTCAGTGGCTATAGGGACTCTGCCTGTAATGAAATCTGCTACTGCTGAGGCCTGGGGGGGCTCCAGGCTGGGTAGAGGAAGAAGAAAGAATAGTACTGAGAGGATGGGCATCTTTAAATTCTTGCTTCTTCTGTCTGCTCCCCCTGGTTGTAAGAGTGGCCACTTCAGATAAGTTCAGTAAAGACCATCTCTTTCAATCATGTCAGCCATCAGTGTTTCTGGAGCTGTCAAGAGTGATAGACTTCTTTTAGAAACAGAATTTGAGAAAGCCCTCAAGAACATCCACCAACACTTCTGCAGGAGTGTACTGCATAATATTAATAAGAATAGTATTTTAAGTAGTTTGGAGGGAATAGGCAGCTAGGATAGGGAACTTTGGTAAAAATGGGAAAAATGCTGGAAAAATAAGGATTATTTACAAGTTCTTACGAAACTCTAGGTTCAAAGCTACCAATAGAGATAAAACCGCTAACACTGGCAGGTTTTTTTAGTCTTGGTGTTGATGAAGGTCAGGTTACAGAAATACAGAATTTTTAAACAATAGATATTTTTTTTACACCAGCCCTTTTTATGTTGTGATTATTTTTTTTTAAACAATTTTGACGTTTATTAATTAGGACAGTATAGAAAGAAATGCTTAAGCAGACATGACAATGAAACTACTGTATTTTTAATGTACTTCTTTTTGTCTTTTTATGGCTTGCTCCAAAATAGTTTAATCTTCAAAAGCTATTTGAATTAGAAGAGATGTGATAGGAGGTGATTTTTAGGTATAAAGATCCTTTAATATTATGGGTAGGAAGGTTAAAATAAATTAGATATAAAACAAATGCATCTTTGTGGCTCTTCTGAATAATTGTTTTCCTTGACAATTTGCAAGTGATGAACTAACTGAGAAGCACCTGGAACGTGTGCCACTTTTAAAATGAATGTCCAAGTATGGGAGTGTTCCTGTTTATGCCTGTGTTTGCTTGGAACACACTTTTCTACTTAGTCTTCCTGAATGTTTATAGCTTATTTCTGTACAATCTCTTCAGACCACTTCCAGCACTTAAAAACATTTAAAATGTAAATACATTTAGGTTTCTTGTATTTACTGCTACTGAAAAGTACTACATTAAAGTAAAACAAAAAAACCTTGTGAGGAAAGTTTTCCATGGGGTAAAGTTTCATGTAGTGACTTTACATGTAGAATTAAATCTCTTAAGAATAAGAGTGATGTCTGCTTTTTTGTTATTCTGTGACCTGAAGATGTATTGCAGTATGCTGAACCAGTGTTGCAATTCAAGCTCAGAAATAAAATTAGCAAGTGAAATTTTTCTACAGGAAAGAGAGAAAAATTGTGCTGCAGTAACTCAGATTTTTATAGGGAACTAACCTTTTTCAAGACTGCAAATATTATATTTGAATTAAACTTTGTTCCTCCTGTAAATTGCTATGTGGTAGAGAGGAGGGCTGTTTTAAAACACATGCTGCATGTGGCTGCTGATTTATGTGTATATGTACAATTGTGTTTTGGAATGTCTTCAGTAAAATAATTTTTATAAATAGAAGTAAATACTTTTCAGTTTTATCTGGTACAATTTTAATACAAAATTTTTTAAAGAACACTCAGATTTGATGCTATCTTTAGGAAATACACAGGCAGAAATTAATGAAATAACACATTCTTGTGTCCTGATGTTTTTCTGTATTATTGTATGAAAATGTATCAGCTCCATTTGTTGCAGGAAACAGGACTTGGAAGAACAGATTACCTAAAACTAAACCCTATCCCATAATTCCACAAACTTACTTTCTTCTTTCTCATCCTCAGCTCACGGTCATATATTTCCTGTAATTCTAGTCCATATTTGCATTTTTCTGGTCTCTCTGTTGTTTTTTCTGAATCATATTTCTGAATTTTTGTAGAGAAAAGAACTGTGGAAAAAAAAAGAGAGTAAGCCAGACAACCAAAACTACTATTTGTTGCTTTTGCAGTTGCTTCACCAGCTTTCAAAGTACTGAAAAATTCTTGTTTGAGAAGTGTTACAACACAAGGCTTTATCAGCTATGCAGGCTTCCCTGGCCAGTTTGGGAAAGGGCTTTTCATAGGATTACATACTCTTCCTTATTTCATCTTAAAAGTAACTATTTCTTGGCACCCTATTCAAACTGCCCAAACTGATTTGAGAACAGTAAATTAGTATGATGTTTAACTCTTACTAAATGTGGCACATCCTGGCTTCAGGTCCCATTTGATGTTTGCAGCTGGATGCTGAGTGTAGGCCTTCAGCTTACAATGGTGTTTTTTTCTTATTCCTCCCATATGTAAATAGCTGTTGCATGGATTCCAATCTCTTGTCTTCTCTTCTCAGTTTGATCATAGAACCTTCTTAAGGGACAGTTAAAGAAAAAGGTCTCCTATCCAGCAAAATGACTTGGCTATTTGATATGATTAAAGATAGGAGAAATGCGACTGAAGAACATTTGGCAAGGCAACAGTGATACTGTGGTCAGTGGAAGAATTTAGAAGAATTGACAGCCCTAAATTTGTCTGCTTTGGAAATGGCAAGTCCACAATTAGTTACTTTAATTAGTAACAAAGCATATTCTTGGAATAATTTATTGCACTGAGATCTGATATAATGGCATATGCAAGATCACATCAAGTTGACTAGGGAGAGTTATGTTAGGTTGTTGACCCTCTTGTTCCTATTTTGTCACTTCTCAGCTTAACTGTGGCAATTCAGTGTATGTGTCATGAAGTTACCAGTATTCAAGAAATGTCACTTCCTTCATAGGACTGTCCTGCTGCAGCGCACTGGGTGTAAATGGTGATTAAGATCCATCTATGTGGAGACTCTTCAGGCATTATACAGAGACTGGCATGTACTCAGTCTTTTGTCAGCTGTAAATTCTGCATTTGCAAGTGATGCAGTTGCTCACCTCCAGCGTGCCTGCTGCTAGGTGTTTTTCACTTACCTGATGTTTGCCTGGAGTCTAGAATCTGTATGTGGTTCTCTTTTCAAATATTCTAGCCTATAATGTAACTTAGAAGTCACCATTAACACCTAAATCATACCAAATTTCATCTGCTAAGTAGATGTGTTTTCATGCTCAAAATCTGTCACTGTCCTCATTTCCATCAAAGCAGGCGATTAAGTGGGAAACTTGGGACTCTGATGTCTGCTTATTTTTACCAAAGGAACATCTGTCATTTTACAGAAACTTTCATTTTTTTACTGAAGCACAGTTTTATTCCTCTTATAAATTATAAGATTTATGGGTGTTTCTAAAACAATGTATATAGAAATGGAAAACAAGATGAGAAGAGACGTAAGAGGTGATTTGCTCCATACACCAGCCTAAGGACAGGCTTATATGTCTACATCTGTTGATCTTAAGATATACCAATATTTTCTTAGAAAAACCTCAGTGATTAAGATTCTAGAACATCCCTGGTCAACACCACTTGTAGTACCTAACTATCCTTGCTTCTGAAAAGAGTTTGATAGAGCAGAATATTTTCTTTTGATTTTAGTATCTACTGTGAATTTCCCTTAAGGTTATTAGTTGTCCTATCCACTGTGGATGTGACAATTGCTCTCATTTTATGCAGCAATCTTTTGCACATTTGATGAGTACAAAAGGCTGCACCAACCTAACTCTTTTCCATTTTTTTTCCTTTAATCAGTTAAATTCCGCTCTTTTTTTTTTTTTTGGGGGGGGGGGGTTGTTTTGTATTGGTTTTTTTTTTCTTATTAGAAAACTAGTAACCATGATCACCACTCCTGATAATTTTTTTTTGCATTTTCTTGGAACTTGCTAGAAGGAGAGACCTGAAGGCTTATACACAGTACTGCTGGGTTTCACTGCAAAGTTGCTGTACAATACTGTTGATATAGAGAGGATCAGATATCACAGTCAACTTGTCTAATAATTCCTTTAGAGCCTGTGGGACTCTTTATGCCTCTGCTGAACTCTGTTCCAGTCTCAAAACAAGCTGTGCAGTGACACCATCTGGTTTATTTTTGCCTATATAATTCGTCCTCATTTAAATAGCTGTTTCAATGTAATTCAGTTTAATCTGCTTTATAAAAACCCCTCTCTTTTGCTTGTAATAGCTTTGTTTGTGTCCTCATTTGGTGCTGCCCACACAGGACTTCTGTTTTCAGCAACGGAATTGACATTTCTCCCACAAGAAAAGTTTGTAGGGAGGGGGCAATATACATTATTAGGCTAACTGATTTTGAAAATGCAGACAAGCTTTTTGGTACAGAAGACCTTCAGTTCTGAAATAGCTGCCAACTTTTAAGTTTGCATGACTTGAGAGTAGTCATTCTGAGTTTAAAATAATTAATCAGATAGTTTGAGATAATATTTCTGCTGCTTAAGTTTGAAATTATTAATTAAAGAACCATCACAAAGGGTTACCTCACTCAAGACCATTGAGGATTAATGAAAGGGAAAAAGATCAGGTTATTGGGGGTTTTTCATGAAAAATGACCCAAATAATTCTCTGCTTTCTTTTGTAATACTAAGATTCCAGGGATAAATCTCAGGAGGGATGGAGAAAGGAAAACTTATACTCTGTACTGCTTGTGCAGGATAACTTGGCCTACATACTCCTAAGACTACTCAATTTGAAACCTCAGAAGACGTGTCTGTTGCTAGAATTCAGAATTACAGTAGCCAAAATATTTTGTGACTTTGAAAAGCATAAACTAATTCTTGAAACCAGAATTTGGGAGAATGAATGATTTACATAGTGAATTTCTACTTTAGTTTGATACCTTTTTGTGCAGCTTTTAGCTACCAGTTCTTGTAAGGGTAACAGCATAGATTTGATTTTTACATAGCACCTGGGGAGGTGGTGGTGTTTCACCAGAGCAGATCTTTGATTGATAAAGCTGCCCTCTGCTCAGTAAGAGAATATCATTGTCGCGTGTTGTTGGTTTTTTTTAATGATTTGCTAATCAAAGATGCATAGTCTGACAAAAATCTGTTTGTAGTTTTTTGTTGAATGTAGCAAGTGTTCTTGGGCAAAGAAAGAGCAAGAATTTCATTCTCCATTTCGTTTTCAAGAATGGAAAAATTCTTCAATGTTAATTTTGGTGTTTCTAATTTCAAATCAGCATTTCAAGAGCATATTAAATTACTTAAACATAAAAGCAAAACTGGTTGCAATACTTTGCTGCTTTTCTTGGTGTGGTTTTGGGCAGACTCAAGACTATTTTGGTTGGTTTTGCATTGTTCTCTGCCTCCTTGCTTTCCCCTAAATTTACTCATTGAGCATGAATGATCAGTGACTCATACTGCTCAAAGGCTGTTGTCTTATGCAAGCAGCCTTCTTCTTGAGGACTTTCATAAAACTCAATTTTACCTTTTGTGCTTTGTCAGTAATGCAGATTAACAAGTTGTCAGGAACTGTAGAGTTACATGTAGTTTCACAAGCAAGTACTTAAGTTGGCATACTGACTTCAAGGAAGAAGTCATGATTAAAAAAAATAAAATAACCATAACTAGGAGATGAAAAACATTTCTTTTTTACTGTGTTTTTGAAAAGGTAGCAATTTTTTATAATATGTAATACTTTTTTCTCAAGGTAACTACAGTTGAATGGGATTCATGCAGACGAGCTATGGTGTTGGGTTTTTATCTTTTCCCTGCTAGTGGGCAGGAAAGAATCAAAGTGCAGGGAGTTTTTTATTACTGAATCATAGAATCATTAAGGTTGGAAAAGACCTCAAAAGATTATCAAGTTCAACCATCAACCCAATGCTGCCATACCCACTAAATAATGTCCCAAAATGTCACGTCTGCATTTAAGTATGGGCTCTTTGAACAAGCTGCCATCTAGGTTTGTTAGGAATCTTATTTAGATGACACTGTTTGTTACCTTTATTAATAAAATATTTTAAAATAATAGCTTGAAATCTGTAGGTAAAGCTGCACTGATATCTGAGCTGATTTAACAGCTCGACTTTGCCAAACAAAAGTCTTCCTCTTTTCTACCTATGTGCCTTCCACCTCCCCTTGTCTAAGCTTCATTCAGAACACTGTAAGCTGCTGCAACTCACTAAACTGTAAGAATACTAGACCCAAAAAATGTTCATTGCCAGGTTGCAGAGCTGGATCAGCTTAGCACAAGGTCCAAGGAGCATAAAAAATAACTTAATACTGGAGAGGGATCATAGAACTGAAGGTTGGTGCATGGGTAAGAAGGAGAAGTTTAGGATTTGAAGAGGATCTGACTCTCCATCTTTTGGTAGAGGTGAGCTGTTCAGTTGGCTCAGCTGCATGTAATGCTTGAGGAGTTGAATTGTGCAATCTGTTTTTCAGGAGAAAATTGGTGTCCAGAAATTGTGTTAAATTCTTCTGAGTCCTGTCATGTGTCCCACATCCTACCAGTCAAAAGTAAATTAAGGATTTGTGTTCATGTCTCCTCTTAAAGACTAAAAGTATTTTTCTGTGATCCATTTATTTTATTTTATAGAAAGTCTTGTCTTTTTTTTTTGTTTGAATTGTAGATACAGTAGCCACCAGAACCCGGAAGATCACGTCACCAAAAACCAAGAAAGGTGCAGCAACCAGAAGGAGAGTGAGAGTTCAGAAGTAAATAATAGATGGAACAACAAATTAAATTGTACTTTGGCTCATCTCTGTGGTTTTTTTAAGTTACTGTAGCACTGGAATTCTTACCTTTTACCTGATGAATCCTGTAAAAATATGGACTGCTGTTTGTACCTGTTTTTGAAGAATAAATGTTTTCTTAAAACGTTTGCATCATTTATGTATACTTCAATCCTAATTGGAAATTTTGCCAACTTGGAAGTAAGGATGCATTCTTATTCTTTATATACATAAGTTCATGTCTTAAATGCAGACTAAAACAAAGTGTTCTTTCTGCTTTATCATCTAGAAAGAAAGCTTTATTTAGTTTTGTTGTAGGTACTTTGTAAGGAACAGGAATGTTGCACCTTATTTCTTCTGAGTAAAGTCTTACTGGAGGTACACTGAGATGAAGTCTGAAATAACAGAGACATCTTTTAAATATTTCTCAAGTGTTTCAGTTTAAAAAAAGGAGAATGTAAGACAAAAATCACATCCTGCCATTTTAGTTTGCTTTAAATGTGTTTCAACAATTATTTGGAGTACAAGTAGTGACTTTTAGAGGAGGGCGTTTGCATAGTGTTTGTGTTTGTATCACTCTTCCAATTATTCAGTTTGTCTGCAAAGGAAGAGACCAGAATTTCAGGCACAGGGCCCAGGGCAAAGAAAAGAACCAACCATTTCATGCCCATTTTCAACCTCCCCCCTCAGCTTTTTTGTTTTGGCTTTGGTTCGTTTTGGGTGGGTTTTTTTAATATTTTATTATTAATGAATAGGCTAGAAAAGTTATAATTATTAATAACTTTGTAAAGTCTCTAGTTCCCACAAAAGCCTGACTCACATGTGGTTCTCATAACAAAATAATGGTTTACCTGTTTTTAATAGTTGAGAAGCATGTAACCTTTTTTAAAGTACTTCCTTGCTTGGCTTCAAGTCTTCAGATTTAAGTAAAAAAATGCAGTGTTTAATTTCCATGTGAAATACCACTACTTTTCATTTAGATATTGCAAAAATACATGTTTTTAGGGCATGAACATAATTCTTATCAGGGAGACTGCCTTATGAAGTTTGGCAAACCAAGAGGGATCCATTTGAGCCAATGGGTGGTGTATTTGTGTGGATGTCCAGTGCTCTGCTTGCTTGTGTTATGTTTGAGTAGCTACTCACTGAAATAAGTATGTTGTAGCATAAAATGTTGAATGAATGATGAGATTGTTTTGAAAAACAGGGGAATCTGTTGTTTTGAAATAAAACTGGAATAACATATTTAAAAGATCCAGTGCCTCCTCACTTGTGTTCTGACTGCTATATAGACTCATTTTCCTGGGTATTAACCAAGTGTGGCTGATGACTTTAAGTGTAGCATTCTCTTTGTTTCAGATGTAAAAATAGGACTGCTAAAGAAAGCATCTCTCATATATAAAACTCCTAAAATCAAACTATCATTTTAGTGACTTCATTTAATAATTTTGTTCAAAAAGTATGTTACACTGTTCTGAAGAATTATTGTCAAGGAAGCATAGTGTTGTTCTCTTGCTTGTCTTGCATGCTCAAAGATAATGTCATTCTTTTGTATTTTAGTTGTTTCACATTATTATTTACCGGTGAACTTCCTTTATTTACTTTCCAAGTTTTCAAGAATTGTGTTTCTTTTTGACACTACCAAAGCCAGATATTTCCATACTTTTGAAAAGCATCTTTTCAGGTGCAGATTTCCTAAGCCACACCTTCCTCTTCCCACCCCAGAATTGTCCTGCAAAAAGTTTGCACTGACAAGTATTCTGTAAAGAAAGAGTGATTTCCATTCTAGGTGACTGTTTCAGGCTTTGTCTGTACTCACAAGAGGCTGTGCAAAACTACAGTCTTCACTTGCAGGAATGTATCTGGCTCACTGGAAAATGTAGTGAAGTTTTAAGTGTGGGACAGCTAGAATGAGCCAAGTTGAAAGCTGTGATATTACACGCAATTCTACCCTGTGTACTGCAGACACTGTGTGCTTGCACACTTTTTTTTTTCTGTTTTGCAAAACAGTGATGTGAAAATACACCCCTTTATAAGAGGCAGAGGGTGTAGATTTTTTTGTTGACATCCCCATTTGAAAGGAAAGCCCTGAACACAAAAGAAGCAAGCTGCCTTCAGACTGCGATTACTGCACTTGATGACTCCAGTTGTGTGTAAATATTAGAAAACAGCAGGGTCCTGCATTCCAAGAATCACTTGAGCAGTGCCATGAAGACAAGTGTCCTTACTGGTATTGTAGTCATACTCCCAAGCTCTCCTGCTGTTTCTAATCTGTGCGCACAGCCGTGAAAAAACTGGACTGACATTTACAGGCACAGCAGGGAGACACTTGAGTAGGGAATGTTAAAGACTCTGCTACCTGTGTTTCAAAGTGGCCACCATACATGATACATCTTCACAGGAGAACTGCTCTGCACTTCAGCTGATGGTGTAATGGGGATATTGATAATGAAGCACACAATGCTGCTTTTTTTTTGTCATTTTGCAGACAGATTATTTATATTTTTTCCCCTAATCTATCTGGAGAAAGAATCCATTTCAGGATGAATATAAAGTATTTTTTTTAGATGGTGCTGATTTGATAATTTTTACAGGAATATTTCCAAATAAGTTACAATAAATATCTGTTGCAGCTAACCTTAAAAAAAAAGGGGGGGGAGGAGGGTCACTTGTTTTCCTGAGTAGTTTGACAGACTTCACTCACTATTTTGTCCCAGTGAGCTGCCAGATTTGGGATGCCATAATACCAGTAATGCAATTAGGTTTTCTGCACGTTGTCTGGTTGACTTCTCAGTTAAGAGTTTCTTTCCCTTTGGGAATAAGACGAGACAGACTGTCATTTGCTATTACTAATTCTGCTTAGCATTATCACTGGAGCTTTTTTGTAATTAGCTATCTTAGTTGGCTCTTAAATTTTAATAGCCAATTGAAGCTACATTTTAGCCAAGTTCCATATCTAAATTGCATTCAGTCCATTAACAAAGTTGGTTAAAAGGCTATTAAAACAAAAGCCAATATATGGTGGTTAGCACTTACGTGTTTGCAGCTGTAGCAGTACCAGCCTCCAGTGAATATTCTCAAGAAATTGCACTTCCTTCCAGCAAAGGAAGTGTACAAAGAATGACCAAAGTTTGTTTTGGGAACAAAGGATGATTATGCAGAATACTTCTTAAAGAAAAATAAAATTGAAGTGTGTCTTTTGTGGAAGAAGGTGAGAGAGATGGAGTGGAAATGCAGAAGGGGGCAATGAATGGTTCTGCTCAGATTTGACAGGTTCTGGAAAAGCCAAATAAATGAAGTGATGTTTTTCTCCATTTCAACTGATCAAAATTATTAGCAAAACCATCTGAAGCACCTTCTGGTGGAATTGTCATCTTGCTGAGTTTAGTTTGTAAAACATCCTGCCAGACATTAAAAAAACTGTAAGCATGCCAGCACATAGGCTCAGAGCACTGCTTCTCTAATTGAGAGACCCTATAATTTTCTTTTGTACTGAAGACCATGGCTGAATACCTCAGCCTCCAGAGTAATTCAACATAGCATCAGTCTGAATTTTTTATCTCTAGTAGCACTTGTCTAAATTAGATTTTCTCCTCTTTTCTTTCTTAAGGTGTAGACAGGAGATAACAACCTTTGGATCATCCTGTGACAAATAATGGCTTTCTCAGATTTTTTTGCTCTTAAAAAATACCTTCCCTGTTGTGAAGACATCGGATATTAATACTGCTACAGTTTTAATAGAGAGTCCACCAGTTGCTTATGAGTTGTTTCAAGCATGGTTTGCAGTGCCTTGTGTGGGTGATGACAGGTAAGTATCAGTAGCTTGATTGTAGAAGGTGTGAGGCAATCCCCAGATTATGTCTCAATAACCAGTGTATATATGCTTTTATCAGCATATAGAGTGGGACATCTGAACTAGAGTTTCTGTAGTGCACCACTTTCATTGTCAAATAAGATGTAGAGCCTGTACTTGTTGAACACAAGTCGGATCCCATTGTTTGTAGCTGCACTGCAACGTCAAACTGAATGGAGAAGCTCTGTGGCAGCTCCTTCAACTCTTGTGTGGCTTTGGGAGTGCTGGGCTTTTTGCAGTGATGCTGTACTCAAAGGGAGAAGCAATCTTTTACCTGTCCGAGGATTGATTTTCATTATGTCCTTTGTCACAGAGCAGGGAGAAAGCAGGTGTAGTGGGACCAACTTTGGAAATTCTTAAGAGTCGTAGTTGGGTTCTCATGGATAGCTTTATACAACTACATGCTAACTCACATGCATTTCAGTTTTCCTCCCTGATATTTTCAAGATTGAGCAGCTGAAAATTTAGAAAGATGATTTTATTAATTCTTTGCTTAATTGTAGGCTTTATCTCAGTGGGTGGTACCTCTATAATAACACTTTATTTATTTTTCTCATAGGATCATAAAATTGTTTGCCCTGTCTGGGGCAGGACTTGGCAGGGCTCATTGATAGAGCTTTAAACTAGATGTGAAGGGGGAAGGGGAGAAGACCGGGTCTGTTAGGGACAAGCACAAGAGGAACACACCATGGCCCAAAGTCAGGTCGTCCAAGGAGGATTTAGTCCCACCGGTGTGCTCTGTTCGTTTCCTGAAATGCCTGTATGCTAATGCACGCAGCATGGGGAACAAGCAGGAGGAATTAGAGGTCTGTGTGCGGGCTAAGGGTTATGATCTAGTAGCAATAACAGAGACATGGTGGGACAGCTCACATGACTGGAATAACCATTTTACACTCCTACAAAATTACACATATTTATATTTCAAAGAATCATTGCATTCTAATTATTCACAGTACTGCTATGACTTTTCACTCTACTTTGAATTTCTTCCCCTTAATAGCAAGTCTCCTTGCTTTCTCTTTTAATGTAGCAATACTACAGAATCTAAAAGAAGAAAGGTAAAGAAAGAGAGAAAGAAGGATAGACTGAGAGTGAAAAGCCTGACAACTGTGTAACAAACAAGAACATAGTAG